GCTTCATATAGTAACTTTCATCGGGATATTTTTCAATATTGTCTGCAAGAAATCATACCTAAGGAGGGGTGCTCAGACTGAGCTCCTTCATTTATTTCAGCTGTGAGGGCTCACTGGAGCCCACAGAACTAGATCAGTGCTGTCCAACAGAAATAGAGCATGAAGGGCCTCCCCGGTGGCGCAGCGGTTGAGCGCTGAGTTGCGAAGCTGCCAGCAGCCTCTGCAGCGCCGGTTCGATCCCCGGCTGCTCCCCGGCCACCGGAGGAGGGTCCCACATGGCGCGCAGACCTCTCCTGCTGCCCGCTGCTCCCCTTAGCAGAGTATTTCGTCACTCTGCGTGTTCTGCTCTCCCCTCTGGCTCTGGTGAATTCTCTCACCCTCCCGCGATTCTGACTGTACCCAGTGCTTGTATAAATAAATAAATAAATCTTAAAAAAAAAAAAAAAAGAAATAGAGCATGAACTGCATATGTATTTCAAAATTTTCTGGAAGCCCATTAAGGAAAGTATAAACAATCAAAATTCTAACAAATCTCATTTAAGATGTTATATACTCAAGGTTCTAATTTCAATGTGTAATCAATACAAAAATACTATTGATTACAATGTTGTACCCTGGGGATTAATATATTGTTAAAAACCATTGTTACCGCAATAAAAATTTAGTTTACAAAAACACGATTAATGAAGTATTTTACATCATTTTTGTACTAAGTCTTCAACCTATGTGTTTCATATTTACAGCACATATCCTGAGAGCCAGGTTTCAAGGTGTCAGTAGCCACCTATGGCTGGCAATTACCATGTTGGGTGGTGCAACTTTAGAGCAATAAGTCTCTGAAAGGGTGGCTGACAACCACTTGCATCAGGAAAGTATGGGAATCTTAACACGACTATGAATTCCTAGGCCCAGTTCCTGACCTACCAAATTGTATGTCTGGGGTAGCTCTAAGCAATTTGCATTTTTTAACAGGTTCCATAGCTGGAACTTTGCTCAGTAAAAATGGACATCTGTTAGGTTCCCTGTCCAAACTTGCTCATAGCCCTTCAGCCATCAGCACACAATGCCTGCAGCTCTGCTGCACCATCTCATAAACCATAGGCATCAGACAGACCAGTCTATTCTGTCACAGACTCCTCAAGCATTTGATATGTACCGGGCACTGCTTTCAGCCCAAGGGATAGAGTGATAAAAAAAAATATGGACAAAATCCCTGCCTTTTTTGAAGCTTACATCCTAGTGGAGGAGAACAGATGATAAATAAAAGGGTAAATAATGATCTAATTTCTGGTGGTGATAAGTCCAGAGAAGAGAAGTAAGGCATGGTTAGGGGTCAGTTGGGTTTTGCAATATAAAATAACATGAAAAGAAAGAACAGGAAAAAGGAAGGGTCTATTGCACGTGGTGATATATAGATACACACACACACACACACACACACACACACACACAATGGAATACTACTCAGCTATAAAAAATGAAGTTCTTCTATTGCAATGTGCATGGACCCAGAGAGTATTAACCTTTTTAATACTGTCTATTGGCCAACTCTATGTCGTCTTTGGAGAAGTGTCTATTCAGATCCTCTGCCCATTTTTTAATTGGGTTGTTTGTTTTTATTGTTGGATATTTTGCATATTAACCCTCTGTCAGACTATGATAAGAAAATGTCTTCTCCCATTTTGGATGATGTCTTCTTGTTTTGATGAAAATTTCTTTCACTGTGCAGAAACTTTTTAGTATGATATAGTCTTCTTTGTTTATTTTTGCTTTTTTTCTCTTGCTGTTGGAGTAATCTCTATGATTAATGTCAGGTTGCTTATGGCCTAAATTTTCTTCCATAAATGTTACTGTCTCATATCTTATATCCAAGTCTTTAATCCACTTTGAATTAATTTGTGTGTTAGAAGTTCAATAGTGGTCTAGTTTCATTCTTCGGCATGTGGCTGTACAGTTTTCCCAGCACCATCTATTTTTTAATGTAATTTATATTATTTATTTATTTTTATTGATTAAAATTTTTTTATTTTCTTATACTGTTGTTTAATTTTGTACAATATTTGATTTCTCCCCTCAGGTGTAATCTCCATAAATCTTCCACCACCACATCACCCGTGAACTGTCACCATAGAGCCTAGCCAGCACCATCTATTGAAGAGACTTGCTGTTGTAAACTCTTAGTTTTTTGCTATAGACCAGTTGCCAATATGTATGTAGTTTTACTTCTGAACTTTCAATTCTCTTCCAGTGATTTGTGTATCTGTTCCATTCTAATACCAAGATTTTAAAATTACCATTGCTTTGTAGTATATCTTGAAGTCAAGAGCATATTCCATTTTTTTTCCCTCAAGCATATGTTTGCTATTTGGGGTCTTTTGTAGTCCCAAATATATTTCATAATTTTTTGTTCTCTTTCTGTGAATAATCAGGTGAAACTTTTTTTTTTTTTTGAAGATTTATTTATGCACATAAGAGCTGGGGTACAGGCCAGAGATGTGGGGGTGGGGCGGTGAGAGGATCCACCAGAGACAGAGTGGGGAACAGAACAGGCAGATTGACTGAAGTACACTCACTGCTGAGGGGAGTAGCGGGCAAGACAGGAGAGTTCTGCCTCGCCCATGCGGGTTTCTCCCTGGCCAGCCGGGAATCGAATTCGTGCTGCAGAGGCTGCAGGTTGCTTCATAGTGCAGTGCTTAACCCCTTGTGCCACCAGGGAGGCCCAGGTGAACCCTTTAAAAGGGAACCTAATGGTATGAAAAGAACGAAAGATGATCTCCTGTAGGCTGTAAAGAAGAAAATCTGGTTGAGGAGGAGGCTATAAGTCAGGGAAAGGTCTTCCTCTAAAACTTCAAAGAAATGAGTTTTGCCAACAACCATGGCCTGTAGGAGAACAATGGGCCTCAGCTGAGACCACAGCTATGGCAGCACCTTCATTACAGCCTGTGACCTTGAGCAGGAGACCCAACTCAGCAGTGAGGACCTCTACCCATGGAACAATCAGCAGGTGATTAGAAAAGGATGTGTTATATATACCTAATGGCATAAACACTATTCAATTATTTTTAAAAAGAATAAAATTCTGCCCTTTACAACAATATGGATAGATCCAGAGAGTATTATGCCTAGTGAAGTAAGCCAGAGAAAGACAAACACCATATGATTTCACTCATACATGGTACATAAAGAAACAAAACAAACCCATGTACTAAATTTAGCAAAAATGAACTTTCAGACTCTAAGAACAAATAAGTTATAATCAGAAGGGAAGGAGGAAGGTGGTTGGCTAAATCAGATAAAAAGGGTCAATTGTATAGTGAAGGAGGAAATTGGACTTTTAATGGTGAACTTAATGTAATATATACAGATGTTGATTTATAATGATACACACCTGAAACTTATAATACTATAATGCAATGTTACTTCAATAAAAATTATTTTAAAAAAAGAAAAGAAAACCAGATGGTTAGAACAAAGAAAAGAAAAGAAATGTCCAGCTAGGATATTTGAATTATGTTCTCTCTTGAGAGCTAAGAGTAGGAGCAACTCTACTGAAGCAATTGGCATCTAGAAGCTCCTACTAGATAGAGTTTTACATTGAAAGTCCAAGTGGGGATTTAAGTTGGACCATCAGACAGGAATGGGAAACCATGTTCACGTGGAGGATTGTCCTTCAAAATGAGAGAGCTGCTTGTCTTGAGCATCACACATAAGGAGTACTGATCCTGACATTATATAGACCCCATGTCTTCCATCCACGCTGCTCCCCAAGTCTACAACTCTAAGAAAGAGTCAGGCTTCACCTCACCTGTACTGAGACTGTGACCATGAGTTTCTGTTGGGGATGTAAGGGGTATATTGCTGGTCACCTCAATTAAGAGTTCAGTCTACATGAGTTAATGCTCCCGGAGGAAGTGGCTTCTCTTTGTCCTGACCTTGCCTGATCATCTTCCAAACTGTGTTCTTTGTGCCAAGAGATACCAGACATGATAGTGGTTTGATGGGTACAAATCTGTTCACAATATGCTAAATGTCTGCATACACATGTTTTATTAAATACCACCAGCCAGCAATTCATGAATTCATTCATTTATTCACACATCCAACTAATATTTGGGACATGATCATGGGCCTGACATTATCCTAGGTTCTGACACTGAGTTACAGCACATTTTAAACTTCATGAGATGATGAGTGTTGGGTACTATGAGCCCATAAAAACACCAACTTAATCCACATGGGGCTGTATAGAGAGGTTAACAATGAACAAAAGATTCTTAAGGAAGTCTCTCTGTAGGGAGGATAGTGTGGAGATGTGGTGTTGTCTGTTTTGTTTTGTTTTGTTTTGTTTTGCTTCTCCAAAATGTATTTACCTCAATCAAACTGTTGAAAAAATATATCTTAATCTCAAGAAACTTTCACCTACCATACCTTATGATTTATCACTTTACAGGACACTTGTTTGAGTTCCAAAACAGTTTGAGTCATTGGGCACCTACTATGTGCCATTCTCTAAACTTGCCACAAGAAAAACAAGACAGAGAGGACAGCAGGGTATTTAAGACCTGATGACTTAGTGGGGAAGGGTGACATGTACTAAGAATCATCTTTACATTGTAATGTGTATATGTTGTAGTTGAGGTGTGCATGGGGTGCTATGGCAGGTTAGAGGGCAATACTCCAGGGCTACCTGGAGTTGGGGTATGCTTCCTGGGAGAAAGGCCACATTGTAGTTGTGTATCTTTTGTTTCCTTGCTTAGTGGTATTTATTTGCTCAGTAATAAATTCCAAATAAGACATGAAAATGCAAACAAGGGAGTAAAACGTAGTCCAAATATCTTTACCCAGAAATAATCACAGTTGACACACCCTCTCAGGTGTGGGGATGTGTGTGTGTGTGTGTGTGTGTAAGAAGAGTCTATATTTTTATTACTACCATTTAGTTGGAAGAAAACATACTAGTCATTCAATTGTAGAAACACACCCACAAAATATTCAGCCAACAGCCTAAAATATGTCTCTGCATTTTATTTTAGGAAACCATAAATTTGGTCACAAAACACCAGGAAAGGAGAAGTCCAGAAACATGCAAAATGGGCCTGAATAACAACTCTGGGGCCACTGGCATGTTCAAGAGGTGGTGCTAACTCCAAGTTATTTTCTTCCAGGAAAGCAAGGTTAACTCAAGCTGGCAAGCCCAGATGGCCGTTAGATTTACAGCTATCTAAAGAGGAGCTGCATCCTTTAAAGGGTTGAGTTATGATGACTTCTACATATTGATTAGATGAGAGCACCAAGCCTGCCTTCAGCAGAGAGCTAGGGAATGAGCAGCAGAGGGGAGATAGTGGTGGTTATCGTCTTTATGTAGTTTTCAAAGTCACTTCCGAAAAAGAGGATGAGGTAATAATTGAAAATGCCAGCAATGGACATGAGGAACAGGAACAGTATGATGCGTTTCCCAAATATGTAACCAGGTGTGCTGGAAAAGAAGAAAAGAGAAAATTGTAGAAGCAGCATAAATGACACCAATTGAACAAAAAATTGTTATCTCTTTGAGATACATGGGGTTTAAATTATAGCTCCTTCTACCCAAGAACGCTCCATTTACTTCATATGAAGGATGGAAGTGTCTTCACTATTATTAGTCTTGGAACATATTTCAAAATGAAGCTAAACGAACCTAAACCTCAAAACCCATCATCATTAGGGCTGCGCTATTCAGCTTCTCCATGTGCTCCCGACTCCCTCTGCACTCCAGCAACTTGGTGGCATGAGGATGGCAGGTTCTGCTGGTCAGAGGCTTTCTGACTGGGGATCAGGAATCCCACCAACTCAGTCAAGGCCCTCTTTAGGACAGCTTCCTCCAGGAGAGCCGACAAGATCCACGTTGGCAACTGTATATAATGTAGGACTTTAAGTACCTCTATATGAGAAGATGGTTTAAATGAGCCAGGGAGATTGATGAAAGCTAAAGGTGCTTTAGCATCTGAGTGTTCAATCTATTCTCCCCAGGCTGCCTGAGAATAACTCACGTTTGCACTAATGAGAATTGGGCCTTCAGCAAGGGAACACAGGCCTTTACATTTTAAGAAAGAATTTCATACATTCATATTCTCCTCTTAAATACTCTAAATGCTAAGCTGCTTAGGCGATGATCTGCTGGGGCAAGGAGGCATTTCCCCAGTGATCGGCAGGTACCCTGGCTTCCTCTCCACCCTCTGCAGACCCCTTATGGGACCTCTGTCACTGGAGCCATCTGTGCTGCACTAGCATGAATGGAAAGTCCAGCAAATGGCTCATTAAGTCTGTTAGTATAGACCCCTGTGAGGGGACCCTGTGGCAATCAGGACGGCTCAACAAGATAGTCAGCTCCACTAAACAGATGAGTTGATGCTGCTGAGTCTTGTTTCTTGCTGTAATCAGAAAGAGCAGAATTTGGCATCCATGGGTTTAATGTCAGAAATTTTACCACTTTGAAAGAAACCTCAAAGGTTCATAATGTAACACATAATTTCCCTGTGTCACAAATTTGGAAATCATTCAGCAATTGAGTATCAATCTCCTTGCTAGTCACAGGGAACCAGCAGCACTGGCAGCCACTGGGAGCAGAAATGAAAAATTCCAATCCTCTCTCTCCCCAGAGTTTCTTAATCAGAATCTGCATTTTGACAAGCTCTCTCCCTAGCTCAGGGGCATGTTGAAGCTTGAGAAGTGCTGCTGGCCAACACCGCCCTGCTCCTCTGTCAGCTGTGTTCTTCTCTGCTTGTTTTCCTGTTCATAGTCATACTCAGGAAGTGAGACAGTATCTCTTATAGGGGGAGGGAGGGATGAGCCTGGAAATCGGCTATGGCCCTGAGAGGAGAGATCCTGTACAGGCTCAGGCAAAGCCACGGAAAACTTCAGTGCAGCAGAGGGCAAAGCAATGGAGGCATGTGCAAACAAATGAAGAGAAGGTGGAGTCAGCTAATCTGCATTCACTGGCTTCAAAAGATGCCAATCTTTTGCCTGTCCATAGTGAGCAGGGAACTTCAAACTGCAAGAAGGAATGTAGCTGGAGTTCCATCAGGAGACAGGGATCCAAGGAAGAGACAGAGAGCAGCATAGTACCAGCTCGTGAAGGTAAATGATGAAAGGCAAATAGTGTAGTAATACAATGCCAACCGCCTCTGAGTGTAGGCCCAGATAGTAGTTTAGAACGAAATGGAAAGAAACTAAAATTTTTTCATAAGTACTGTGTAGTTACAGATACAAACTAATGCAACAGGGAGAATGGGGTCAGATAGTAGGACGAAGGACTAAGAGCCATAAATTTCTGTGAGGAAGAAAGGAGGGAGCGTCAAAATCCTTGCAGGGCAGCTTGAAGAATGAAGAGAGCAGCTTGGGTAGAGGAGCAGGGGGAGGAGATCTGTTAAGGAATGTCCTACCTACCCACTGGATCAGCAATGACACTGGATCTTCTGCAATGGACAGGGTCAAAGCAACTTCTGGGGAGGAGCAAAGGATGATCTAGAGCCCAAGAGAGAAATTCTGGGGGCAGATCTCAGTGGATAGAAGCAGATCCTGAGGGCTTTGGGGCATTAAGGCATCTGCCGAGTCCAAATGTGATAATACAGGGACAGAGCTGAGATGTGGAAAAGAAGAGAGTGTTAGCAAGTAGTTTCAAGAAGGCAAATTGAAAACCATAGAGCCCCTTAGGCAGGCGTCTACCTCAGGCTATATTTTGGTCTAGATTAGGATTAGACATTTCATCTAGTGTTTATCATATCTATTGATGACAACTGCTCAGAACTATTTGTTAAGACGTATCATGAAGCCATGTTTGTCTCAGCAGGAAGAGCATTGTGATCAGTGAATATCACAAAGGCAGGTGCAGCAAGGAGGGTCTAGAACTAGCGCAGATAGTGGGTTAAGGGCTGGTGAAACACTTTACCACCATTTACATTTCAGTGGAGTTCAGAGAAACCTATATTTATAAGACTTTAAGTCTATATCTCATTGTTTATTGTTGCTACCTCCATTCATTCCCTCGTAGAGATCACCTTTGAAACGAAAAGAATCTTTGGGTAAGTGGACACATTCTGTCATGCTCCACAGGTTGTCTTTAAGATTCCAGCATGTGGGACAGGTAAGGAGAATGGTGACTGGGTGAATCCCTAAGACTGGGAGAGAAAGACAGGGCTGGCCCAAGAGAAAAGAACCACCTTATCCCAATGAAAGACACTCACCCCCTCAACTCTTGACAACACGTCAATCATCTAGCAAAAGGAAAAATAGAAGTTTCCAGGGCAAAAGAGAATAAAGAGTTTCATTTAGGGAAGTGCTGATAAGGGTGAGAGAGATCATAGAATTGTAGTTTTAGAGGATAAATAAGAATGCACTGGAGAGGAATAAAGAAGAGGTGCACACAGGAAAAGAATTGCTATGAGGAAACTCTCTCCTGGCTGCAACTCACCATTTGACTGGCCTAAATCATTTAGCATTCAGTTCCCCTGATAGAGAGCCTTCACCTTCCCAGAGTCACTGCCTTTGTCAGTACTGACAGATGCTATCTGAACGGAGAGCCCATTAACCAGCAGAGAAGGGAGCTATTGTAAAAGACAGAGTGTTGTGACTAGACAAGGAAGAAAAATAGTGGGAAGGCAGGGGTGCGCACATGGGTGGCAGCCTCTCAGAACATATTCCTGCTTCTCCAAGCCTTTCTGGTACTTTAGGAATTCCAATCTCTGAGGAACTGAGAGCATACTGTAATGCGAACATTTCTTCTATTTTCATCATTTATGTCATGGAAGTGCAGATTTCCCAGCCCTGCTGCTGATTTGGGGCTTTCTGTCTGGCAATATCTATAAGCGATGCACTGGTGCCTCCATTCAGGGTTCCATCCCTTGCATGTGATTGCATCTTGTTTTCTGAACATTCTTTCTGCTGGTCCCCAGAAGATCTGTTTACTCAAAAGAATTTATCCAAAGGTGTAAGCTTTAGTTCTCATTTCCCTAGGCAAACAATGAAATGTTTCCGCTCACGCTCACGGGAGGCCTTGGGAAGTCATACAAAGAAAGTCATTTAAGTTCCAAGGTCTGAAGGGTGGGAGAGGATGGTGGGGAGGGTGGGGACTGCAAGGCAGGTGCAGGGCAAAGCATAAAAGTATCCTTTGTGAAGACAATGCAATGTGGAGGAATTGCTGAATGGGGAAACTAGTCATGTCCCCGGGCTGTATTTTCAGAAGCCACAAAGTTCAGGGAGGGGAGCATGAAGGACCCTCATCTGCCTTTGCCTCCCACCATCAGTGGCTCACACAGAGCCTTAAATGCCAGGCAGAATATTCTTGTGAATTATCACTCTTCCTGCTCAAAAAGCATGAACACTCCATGGTTCTTAAACAGCACCAGTGGCCTACCTCTGAGTCCTCTCTCCTAGATAGCCAAAAAAGTACTTTTGCCTCACGAACAAGTACATCAGTCCAGCGAAGGCGGCAGGAACTAAATAGAAAAAGGAAAACATTTGTGTTAGTTTTATAGATGCCAAGACTTGTGAAACTAACACGATATTAATTCAGATATGGGAAATGAATGTGAGACACAAATCTAGCAGATGCCTCGGGTTCTGATAGTCCTCGCTAATATAAACTTCAGACAAAAACCTGTTGCTAGAAGAAACCTGAAATCTCAATGGTAGTAGTGTTACCTTTTACAGGCATCATAGCAAAGTTTACAAAGTATTTTCATATCCAACATCCATTTTGAATCCTTTCAACAAGGCCAGTATCATCTCTTCTATTTGAAGATGTGGAAACTTGGGCCTGAGGCATCCTGGGATTTATGTAAGACCATCAGCTGCTGAGTGAATGCAGTGGGTAGGGAGTTGCTCTGGAACCCGCAGCCCAGTTGTGGGGTTTGTTCTCTCAAAAATACACCATTTACCTCCAGGTGTCTAGGCAACCCAATGACTAAACTTTTCCAAACAATCAATATTGTTCAGAAAAGATCTCTAGGGCAGGGGATTCTTTTTGAATTGTACTCTTCAAGGAACTGCTACAGGCAGCACCCAGATAACCTTATAGAGTCCCAATGTAACAGGGTGGTCCCAGGAAAGGGGGAGGTTCCAGGTTTCCTGTCCCACCCAAGGGAGGGTGGAGCTGAACAGATAAAGAAAGAAGCTGCAGAGGAGACTGAGGAAGGAAGGAAGCAGGATGGAGAGCCAGAAGGAGACCTGGAGGAGGCACATGGAGCCGAGGGACACGTGAAGAAACTGCGCTTGCCTTTTGGTCGTGGACTGGGTGACCCAGATGTGGCTGAGAGACCCATGGGGAGGTGACAATGGTGGTTTTTGTCTTGATTTTGATTTTGCTCTTTTCCTTCGAGACTTGTCTGGTTGTGGGTCTATTTCTATTTCTGTGGGTCCCCACTGGAAGATGCTTTAGACTTGTAGCTGGCTTTGGGGCCTTGTTCTGGGCCAATCCTGCTTGGGTGGACTTCTACCCACGAGGGGACAGGTAACTTTGGGTGCTTGATTTAGAAACTAGATTCTTTGCCTTCCCTGTATTGTTTCTTAATTGTATTAAAGTTCCTTCCCATTAAAGTCTTATATGTTTTGTGTTGATGCGGCGGATGGCAGAACCTATTTAGAGCAGGCAGGTTTGCGGGGCCTAGGGTGCCCCTCTCCCTGCCCTGTAACACCAAGGGCTTGGATCTGGGAGTTAAAAAACCCAGCTCCACCAGCACTGGTGAAAGCAAAGACTTAATTCATTCTACATCTAGACAGAGTTGATTTCAGCAATTCTACCTATCAAGAATCTTTATGAAGGGGAAATAGAGACCTGAGGATAAAACCTCCAGTTTTATTTAAATACCAAATTAGTTGCTTTGACCCAGTGCTTTCTATAATATGTCAGGTACTAGCCCCTGGACTTGGGGTATGTGGGTTTCTTATCCTCCCACCTATCTGGTGAGAAGTATATTACTGTCATCATTTAACATAGGAAGAATTTAGTCTCAAGGAAGTCAGTTTGCCCAGGGTCATCTACCAAACCAAAAATCTCGTTAAGGCAGCAGGCTTGTGCTAGCCATCGTCTCTGTGCTGCCATAATGCTTGGCACATGCTGGCTTTCATACAATATTTGCCAACTGGATGAATAAGAACAAATAAATGAATAATGAGTGAATAGGTAGCCTGGAGGGAGGAGAGGGATTTGACCAGGTCTGCCTGATTTCATAACATTATCACCACCAACAGCACCAACAATAATAACATTTATTGGGATTTATTTTAAGGTTTAACTTTATTGTTAAGAATGCATCATTTTGTGAGTCATGAATAGTCATATATTGATGGTTTTTATGAATCAATCCAATGGATGCCAAGCATTGTGTTGGGGCCTTATGCACAGCATCTCACTTAATCGTCCTGGGAACACTGTTAGTAGATATGGTCCTTTCTCACAAGTGAGAAAATGAGACTTCAGCTGAGTAATGTCAGGGTTGGAGATGGTGGAGGAGGGGAATAAGAGAGGGGATGGGTTGTGAGGAGGGCTGGGAGGACACGACACCATCAATAAGTGTTCTTGGAATTGCCTCCAAAACCCATGTTCTTTCTACAACTTCACCTCATCCCTCCAATTACTATTGTTATATGGCAGATAAGAAAACAAAGCACCTTCTTGAAACTGCTGGTGAGAGTCATCCTATTCTTTGACAGTCACAAAACTATCACAATTCAGTTTGCCTTAGACAAAGCTGTTCCTGGTTTGACCCATTTGGGTGACTCTGCTGTAATTACTGACCCATCTCTCTTTCAAGAGTAACTAAATTGAACATGAGTTTGCTGGAATCAGGGGTAATTTTCTCTGATTTTCTGTAATCAACCCTTCTTGCTCTTATGCAGCAAATGTGCCTCTGGGGTGGACCTGGGCTGCGTGGAACACCAGGAGTATTGTGGGTTCAAATCTGGACTCCAAATTTCTGCGATTTGAGCAAGTCACTTGTCTCTTTGGGGCTTGAATTCCTGCTCTGTAAAGTGAAAGGACTGGACTAGAATGATCTCCAAGATTCCTTTCAGTTAAAAATATTCTGCAATCTACAATGTCTATAAAAACGATGGTTATTGGACAGGGTTTACTGACATTTTTGTCGCCTGACAATGCCAACTTGTTTTGGCAGGAAATGCATATTTCCAGGGCTCTGAAACACCTTCAAAGTCCCTTTGTATTCATCTGGATAGAACAACTCTACATTCATCTATATCAAGTATCATCTCAAACATAAAAGGAACCGTAACTCCTAGTACAAGCATAGTTCAACTTGATTTTTCAAGTTAATGCCAGACATGTTTCTTATTTAATTCAGGGTAGACAGTGGGAAATAAATAATGAGATTACTGACAGCCATGTGGAGTGCAGAAGGAGACCACATGGTGTCCCTCAGTTGCTTTCTGCTGCCATCCTTCCCCTCTATTGTCTACATTGTACCCTACTCATTCACTTCCTGGGGCTTCTCATGCTTGGCAGTGATTCATCCATTCACTTATCTGCTATGGTTCATTTGGTCAATTGCTGTGTGTCTCACCACCATCTCTGTTTTATGGATAACTATGTATCCAGGGACAGCACTTGACAAATAGTAGGTGTTCAAAGTATATATATATGTGTGTGTGTGTGTGTGTATACATATATGTATGTATATGTGTATTTATATGTATATGTATAATGCAAATGAATAAAGTAAAAGAAAACTCAGGATTTCTCCCGAAAGACCAGGGCTCTCATCTTGGCTCTCTTATTTACCAGCTGAGTAATCTGTGACAAGCTACTTTATCTCCCTGAACCAAAATGTCCTCAAAGGAAATGGAGGGAAATAATATCCACTCTATCTACTTTGCAGAGTGGGTGAAGGTGATAAGGATTAAATCAGACACTCGTGGCCTCTTCTCACCTACCAAGCCGGGCCACAACATAGAAGCTCGGCCAGCTCATGCCAAGCCTCCACCAGACAGAGTGCCAAAATCCAAAGGGGTTCCCAAAATATGATTCTGGTTTCCATTTAATTTTAAAGCAATTCCAGGAGTCAACTTGCTGGAGTCAAGACTGTGGGCTGCTGATAACCCAGGGAAGGCTAGAGGCCAGTCAGTGGCTCTGGAACCCAGGCCTGGAGGAGCCCCACCATGCTGGAAGCTTATTAGCAGAAGAGCCAAGTGACAGCGGTCCCAGAATAGATCCCTCAGGCGCTCTCATTTATAATGCCCTTGTATCTGAGCTAACACTGCTTAAGGATTCTGAGTCACATTTAACCTTAAACCACCCTTGTCAGTGCAGGCAGTCACTCTCAACCAGTCACCAGGGAGCACGCATTAGCAATGCATTATCACACGCGCTCCCCTCTGCACAGTCACAGAGCATGCCTGAAACACGACCTCCTGGGGGTTCTCACCTCTCCAGGGCTTCATGGATTGGAGCTGGAGGTCAGGCAAAGTCTTTTCAACAAAAAAACCTCCACTTGAACCTCCTCCCATTTCAGAAAAAGAACATTTCAAGAGAAGCCCAGATTACCTTGACTGCAGAGTATCCCCGCACACCACAGCACAGCAAGGAAAGTGGGATATGCATCTACACAGTTTTGGCTGTAGAACAAATAAGCAAGGGGGAGAAAAATCAAAAAACACATTACCACAGTATCATCTAAAAACTATCTGAAAGCCCAAATTAATAATCCCCCTCACACATAGGGCACAAAGCCTAATTCCACTTACATCTAACCACTAAGAAGCAGCATCCTGTCGCTGCATCAGAAACAAACAGTGCTGCAGAGAGAGCACACTGTTCGGAATCCATTTCCTCTGTGCCTCCACGAAGCTGCTTAGAGACTAGGTTTCTTGATTCATTCGCTTTGGCAGGGTTCCTGCTCCTGGCTGTGCCAAAGCGCTTCTTGGAATTGAAAAGTGAGCAACGCAGACAGCAGGGCTGTGGCGCAGGCGGGGCGGGGGAGCAAGAGCCCCACTAAGGAAGCCTTTATTGTCAGACACACCAGTCAGCTCAGACCCGCAGGCCAGGCTGAGCAAGGAGAGGTGAGCCTCAGGCATTAAAGAAGGCAGGATGATTGAGAAAAGCTGCTATTCAGAGAACTATCTCGCTGGTGGTGCCCTGGTTGCCTGCAGGTCTCAGATCTCACTCATGAGGAGGGCCTCTGACGCTACACCAGACCCTGTGCTGGTGTGTCATACTCTTGTCTCCTTTCAACTCACCACAATCCTGTGAGTACGTGGAGATTGCATGCTTTTTCTGTAACTGCTGGAGCAAGTAGCAACAAGCTTGGTGGCTTGAAACAACACAAACTTATTATCTGGAGGGTAAGTCTGAAATGGGTTAAAAATCAAGGTACCTGCAAGGTTGCATTCTTTATGGATTCTCCTGAGAAGAATCCACTTCCTTACCACCCTAGCTTCTAGGGTCACCTGCATTCCTTGCTGGTAGACCTCTTCCAACCTCAATGATAGCAAAGGACAATCATGTCTTTCTTACCATTCAATCACTCGACACCGACTCTTCTGTCTCCTTTCTTTTTAAATGATCTTGTGATCACATTGGCCCTACCCAGATAATCCAGGATAATCTCTTTATCTTAAGGTCAACTAGTAAGTAACCTTAATTCCCCCTTGCCCTGTAATGTAACCTCCTCTGAGTTCCCAAGAATAGACGTGAACATCTTGGGGGAGGGGGAGAAGGGGACGTTTTTTTCTACCTCCCACATTTCCTCTCATGTTTCAAATGAGAAACTGAAGGTTGAAAAAGTTGAATAACTTGCCCATGGTCATCCAGATAAGGAGTGGCAAAGGCAGGATTCATAACCTGGTCAGTCTCCAAAACCAAGTCAGTTACCTTTTCATCTATGCTAAAGAGAGTGTGTCCTCTTGAGGACTTTACAGCCTAGACCAAGACAAGCAAGATGCACCACTACAGAAAAGCAACACGACAGGCCCTGGAGGCATGAGAGAGGGAAAAGCAAAGCCATCCGGTGGAAAGGGTACATGACTAAGATTTAGTCCCTGGCCTGACATTAACCATCCTTTGTCATTGCCAAAGCAATTTCTCTGATCTTAGTTTCCTTACCTGCAACGAGACTGATCGTTAGCAACTCTAAGATCCAGTGAAGCTTGTAGGAGCAATAGTCTAAGGTGGTGATTCTCAAGGTGTGTGGTTCTTGAAATCAGCAGCATCAGTATTGCCTGGGAGCTTGTTAAAATGCTAATTTTCTTTAGCATTTTATATATATATAATTTTATTATATACATAATTCTATTTTATATATCTATAACATCATTATTCATTTTTGTACAATGTTTGCTTTCTTCTCTCAAGTGTAGTCCCCATAAAATTACCACCACCAATTTACCTGTAAACTATCACCATAGTCCCTCGTGCTCTTCCCTCCCCTTAAAAATAGCTAATGTTGATGCCTTCCTACCTAAAATCTCTGTGGGTAGGCCTAACAGTCTGTTTTAACAAACCCTGCAAGTGATTCAGATGCAAGCTCAGGTTTGAGAACTACTGGTCTAATATAATTCAAATCACAGAGCAAAGACGGTATTTCCGAAATTTATTTGGCCTTTTATCCAAATTCCTTCCTTGCATTCCTTCATCTGGATCCTTCTTGATTCAGTTGTCATGATTTCCCTCCCCCCGCCTCCCATCAGCTGTGAACATGTGTCCAAATTGGTAGGATCTTAACCTCAGTGGTACCACTTAGGACTCTGGAATGACCAGCCCTTGGTCTGTCCCCAGCAGAGAGACTGGGCCATATCCCTGGCTTATCTTGCTAGGTGCTCTGGATGCTGGGATCTTCCCTGAGCAAGAGGTACAATAAGAACTCCAAAGGACAGGAACCCCTTAGACTATTCCATTTAGGGTGAAGTACTCAGTGAATAAACAGGTCCCAAAGTGGTTACTGTAGGAGCCACTGAGCACAAACATCAAATCTATTCTTATACACAGTTGCAGGCACAAAACTACAGCCTCAGGACTGAGAAAACTGGGAGAGAATTCCTCTTTATTTAGATAATATTCTACATCTGATGGGAACAAACATCTGATACTCCAACAGTTTGAAAAATCAATCACTACCAAAGATTGCCCCTGCTTCCTTCTCATTCTCATGCTTCTGTTTTTGCTTTGAAGTAGTGATTTTTTTGTCCGGGTAATGCAATTTTTTCCCTAATTTTTAGTTGTCCAAGAGACTTGCTCATTAGGGAGAATTATCTAGTGATTCGACATTGGATTATTCAATCATCCCTGCCTATTCTCTCAAGCTATTGCTGTCCCTAATAAAACATGGTCTGTCTGGAGTTAAATAAAATTCTCCCAACTACAAAACAGTGTGCTCATCCTCTGGATTTCCAGGATACACCCTGAGTTCTGTTTTCTCATTCTGGCTCAAGCCAGTCTCCCTCCCTCCCCAGGACTCTGATGCATCTTCCCCCTGAAGCTCATGCACACATGGCCCTTCTTGGCAGATGATGGTTGCTGGGCTGAAATCAGGTGGCTTGGGTCAGTGATGTAGCTGCCCACAGGATAGTCAGGTGGCCATGAAAGCCACAAAGCCTGGGCCCTTCACCAGATCTGCCACTTACTAGCTGTGTGAATGTGGGTGCATTTCCTAGCTTCACTGAGCCTCAATTTTTCATCTATGGAAGGTGAATGGAGACATTAGTAATTACCTCCTTGGATTGTTGTGAGAATAAAATAAGATAAATCAGTGCCTGGCTCATAGTAAGCTCTGAATAAATGGTGGCTATTATTGCTGTAACATCTTCCCTCTTATAAGCCCCAATGAAAACATCTTTCCTATTGACAAATTATTATTATTCCAAATTTTCCTTTGTGGAGAGTTTTGTGCCATTTTTTTCTGCAAGACAAAACTGACAAGCCCATTTTGACTCTCATTTCCTGAGGTCTAATTGTGAGCTGCTAAGCTGATTTTGTGGTAATACACTATGCCATGTTCAATTGGATGCATTATACTATCAATATTTTTATGGAGATAAGGACTCCTCGCTACTTTCCCTTTCACTTTTCGCCACATTTAAGAATAAGATATAGAAGCACTTAAATTAATATTTGTTAGCTTTTACTTAAAATAAGTAAATATCACTACTAATAACAGGAATAGTATCGATACTAATGGACAGAATCCACGTGTATCTAGCATCTTTGAATAATTTGACAAGTTTTTTCGCTGGTGGTTGTGCTGCATCTTTTGAAAGGGTAGAAGTGAATCTAGGGTGGTTTTGGAGAGATCTCAAGGAAAAGGGATAAGAGGGTGTCATTTCCCATGAAGCATTTCATGAAACACTAAGCCCTTAATATGCTCTGCAAAAAAAAAAAAAAAAAAATAGGGGAGGGAAGGTCTGTAGTTAAATAAGATCTTCCTTCCTGGAGAATCAAGAATAACTGTGTCCCTTAGTCTATAAAATGTTCTTTAAAATCTTGCCATACAGAACATCTTCTCTTTACAGTGCACAGATTTGTAATCTATGGTACACATTTAAAAAAAAATTACACACCTCCAGAGATCCCTCTCTTCTCTGCAATCTGTACTTACACATTCATGGGAAGAAATCTTAAGTCAATTAACTAGGCTGTTTCTCCAAAAATCAAGCCTTGACTGCTCTAACTGAGCTCATCAGCTGGGAACAGGGCTTTGAAGTACATTTTAGACACGAGAATAGTCAAGATGAGGTTCCTTTTCTCTCTCAAAGGAGATGGTGGAAAGCACCATAGATGACTGGATCAAGAAGATGTGGTGCATATACACCATGGAATATTACTCAGCATTCAAAAAAGATAAACACATGCAATTTGCAGCAACATGGATGGCGCTGGAAGGGATCATGCTCAGCGAAATAAGCCAGAAAGAAAAAGAAAAATACTGGATGGTCTCACTCATAGCAGGAATCTAGAAAACTTAAATAAGGGACCAGGAAAAAGAATAACTATAAGAAAGAAAATATCAAAATCAACAAACTATGAACCAGAGACACTCTATGGGGGGTGGGGGGTGGGGAGGAGAGGGATTGGGGTCAAAATAAGGGGGTTGCAATTGTATGGGGAACATAAAAATAAAATTTATTAATAAAAATAAAAAGGAAAAAAAAAAGTCTGAATGGATAGGTAACACCGGCTAGGGTGTCTGCTTATCAACTGCCCCAAAATCTTGCAGTGTCTGTCTCAGTGATAGAGTCATATTTTATGCTGAAAAATACACTTTGGACTTTCCAATCCACCAGCATCATGTGTCCTTTATGCTGTTTTTTTCTTTATAGTCATGGTCTCCAAACATTTATGATCCTACACTCCATCAACTAAAAAAAGTTTTGATCATGCAATCCTCTGATAAGTGCATTTATTTATAAATTTTATGTACACATTCCCAATCCATTTGTTAAAAATGAGTAAAACCTGATTTTGTATTTTTAGATTGTAAAATTAAATTTTCTTCTTTTATCTCATGGTTCATGGTTCATGGTGTCCCGGTGTTTCTGGTGCTCTTGGAGAAGCTCTTGCTGGGGATAACTTTCTGGTGGACTAGCCCATAGCTCCCCTCGCAGCAACTTCCTGCAGAGACTAGCACTGGGGGCCTATGGGTGTGGCCAGCACACAGTTGCCTGGCACAGTGATCTCCCAGCCTCTTCAGCAACCCACCACAGGCACACACGGCACTGTTAGCTGGGCCAGGGAGGAAGTGGTCTTTACAGAGCCGCAGCCGTGTCTGGGAAACCAGACACATCTCACAGAAAATTCTCCTTCCCCCTCTTAGTTCCTACCTCTCCACAGTTCCCCACCACTACCACACCCCATCGCACACCCAACTTTTCCCTTTCCTCTCACAGAAGTTAGAAGGACGTGGGTCTGAGGAGTTGGACTCCAGTGCCCACACAGGTGGGGACCCCGGCAGCACTGATCACCCACTAGCCTTCAGCCCCTTGGTGACCAGGAGCCCCACGCCATTGCAGAACTTCCAAGCCACCCTTTAATGACGCTGCACAACCACCACCCAACAACACTCCTACAACTGGGAGCTGGTAACGAGAGTCAGGTATAAACATGGGGACATTTAGAAGTAGACCAGTTTACTCCTGGGTGAGATGGCAGATACTGGCCAGCCTGGTTGCTCCCCAGAATGCAGCAGAGCACAGAGGCCCCCGACCCTTTAGTGAGTCCTCCCCTCCCCCAATCCAGCGTGTGCCATTCTTGCCATTCTAAAAGTGCTTTTCTCTGGTGGCCACAACTTCCCCTTTGGAAGGCTCTCTGGAGACAACAAAGTCACCTCCAAGCCCAGACGGAAGGATGCCTTCACCAGCTCACAGAGGAAGCCCCCCTTTCTGACAGGCCTCCCATCACAGAGAAGAAGCAGAACTGCCTGGCTTGAACCCACTATTTAAATACACTCTGCATAAAGAAAAAAAGGAGTGTTTGAATAACATCCTTATGAATTTGCATCCCAAATAGCACCGGTCTTCACTGAGCTGTTCAGGTGTTTTCAAACAGTTTTTTTTTATTATTATTATTCAAAAGTAAAGAATGGGAGTGGGGTAGGAAGCATTTGCACAATTCACCCATTCTTTCTGTTTTTGCTCAGTTTGCTGAAGGAGACCTGGCATTATGGGTGTCACCTCCAGGCTTTCACCAAGGGAGCAGAGGGGTAGGTGAGTTGAAGGCGTCAGTCCTGCCCATTGCTTCCGAAGCCAGCTGACCAATAATGCCTGGTTTTCACTGTAGTATCTCGGACCAACCCACAGGAAACGGGGCAACTCCCATGACTCAATGACTGGCTCAGAGGTTTCTGACCAGGGCGGTGGGGTGGACGGCTCTCTCCCCCAAACCCCAAGATTCCCATTTCCTTTCTTTTAACACTAACGCTTTCTAAGATGACAAAAGGTGTCCACAAAGACTTTCGAGTGAGGCTCACCACCCTGGCTTTTGAAGTTTCCCTGACAGACCTGGGAGCTTGAAGAAGGTCTTCATGCCAGTAGGGAGAACCCCATACCCATGCCCCCACTCTGTTAGTCATGGACTTCAGGGTTTGGACTCACTTGGCAGTGTAGACCCTCTCAAAGGCAAGTGTTCCCGTCCTCTGGAAGCTCCGCCCATTCTGTGTCTTGCTTTCATGCTCCACCTTGTGGGCAAAGAACCCTGCCAGAGGGAAAGAGTTGGATTTGGTTTATAATGAGCATGTTCAGGAGCCTCTTATCCGGTTATTTTATCAGAATGTTAACTGTTCCCTTGTGTTGGCCTCCAAAGAACATTAAATGTACTCTATCAAATGAAATTCAGCAAAAATGTGTTCAGCAGTTGCCCTCTGCTAACCCTCTGCTAATCACTGTGTTTGGTGTTGTGGATGCGACAGTAGGCAGGACATACGCTCCACTTTGAAGGCTCGTACAGTCGAAGGGAACAGACAAACAAATAATAGAAATAACACCATAGAATGACTTATCAAAGGCAAACTGTATGAGAACAGAGTGCTATCAAAAGTCAAAGAAGGCAATGTAATGCAGTGCTTGGGTGAGAGCAAGATTCCTAGAGGATGCGATAACTATGATAAAACATGAAGGATGAGCAGGAGCTAGACAAGCAGATAAGCAGATGAGGAGACAACAGAATCCCACTGCTCAAGTGAAATGGACTATGCAGTGGTCCAGAGGCAAGGCCTGTCTGGTTCTGGATGCCCAGATTATAATGGCGGGATGAGGATGCGGGGGATCAGAATGCAGAATTCCAAATGAGGCCAAAGAGGGAGCTGGCAAATTGTTCTTTCAATAACACACATCTTTTATCTCTTAGCATGCATCCCAGAACAAAACAAAGAAAGAAGACTTGGTCTGACGAGTTTGTGTTCTAGTGAGGATAGAAGGGGAGGAGACAGACCACACAGTGAACAAAATCCACAAACCAAAAATGCACTGTGTGCTGAATTACAGACAAAAGAGAAAGCAGAGCATGGTCAGGGGCACTGAAAGTGTTCAACAGGGTGGGCAGAGAGCGCCTCAATGAGGAGACACTCAGTGAGCCAGGGAATGGCAGATGATAGTAGGAAAGTGCCCCCTGGATCTAGCAGTTCCAACTTTCACCTTGATGAGAGCCATGTTAAGAAATCCTGACCTTATTTCCATCTCAGAAATAACTAAGACTTCTTGACAGACATAAGTCAAGGGATGGCATAATCGGAACGTCACTCTGTTCAGTGTGGTGAGTGTTGAGAGGGGTAAGACCCAGAGCAGGGGCAAAAGCTAAGACAGAGCTGACTAGGGTAAGCGGGTGAGGCATACGAGATGACTGCCATGGAGGCAAAATCCTCAGGGTTTGTCTATTGATTGAGTCATGGAAGTAAAGGAATGAAAATCTCTCTCCACTCCCCTCGTATTTTATTCCTTTAGCCCTATTTCAAGAATGAAAAAGGGAAAAGGTGTGATTGTCAGGACCAACCCACAGGGTTCCTTTTGATCAACTTCTTATTAGCTTCCTCAAAAAGGCATGAGAAAATGCCTTATCAATTGTGTATATGAATAAAAGCCCTTCATGGTTTTCTTTTTGGCAAAAGTACTTACTTGCCTTTCCTAAGAATGTGCCCATTTTGAGCATATGATGGGGCTGCCTTGTAGGAACGGAGGTAAATCACACTCCGGGCTCTAGGCCAGCACCTGACACATTTCCTTTCTGGGCCTCGCACCAATCATTCTGTGAAGTGGGCAGGACTGCCCCACTTTGCAGACAAGCTCACTAGAGCTCAGGGAGGTTCAATAACTTTCCAAGAGCCACTGCAGGAACAGTTCTCTTCGGGAAGATAGATCTTTCCTCTGCAGATTCAAATCCAGCTGAATAGTTGAGGATGTGTTTTTCCTCTCACTGCTACATTGACGCTTGCTGCAGGGATCCCTTCAGCTTGTGCATTCTGAATGTCTCTTCATACCACAGAAAATAATAGAGAATTCTGATGACTGTCTTTCCAGAATCCAAGGTAACACCCCTTAGCTCTAAGCATGTGAACAAGGGTAGAATTAAGAAAGCCAGAGGTCGTTTCTGCAACCAACACCACAACTTCGCTGTGCTTCTCTGAACCTTCCTTTCTTCTTCCTCTCTTCACTCGGAGAATAAACCCTTTCCTCATTTCTAAGCCTTAACCATCTGCCTGTGACTTGACCCCCTTCTTGCCACCCTCTTCAGGTGGTTGTTTCACCAGTGTTTTCCCCATTTCCTAAGCCTTCAGTCTCCTTTGTCTTCTCTTCACCCTAGAAATACACTCAGATCTTTCCTACACTTGAATGCAAACAAAAGCAAGACTGCCTCAGTCCACGACCCCATTAGGGCCCATCTCTCCTTGAAAGAGTTGGGCTGCCTTTGCCCACACCACATTCACACACTGTTATCCCTGACTGTCTTGCAGAAACTAAGCATGCAATGGCAATTAACGCTCTTACCTTGGCTAGTTGCCCTTAAACTAAACCAGATAGGAACAGACAGATGAGTCACAATGAGAGAAGGCTGCAAAGATTACTGAGAATCTGCCACACGCTGGGTCATTTTACCTATGTCAGCTACCACATATAGAGTTATTAGTAAATCCCACTTGTCAGCTAAAGAAACTGAGGGACAAGAGAAGTGAAATAACTTTCTCAGGATCACATAAAAAGATCTTGAAATTTTAGTTAACCACAAAGTTAATATGAGTCAGAAGTGTGATACAAGTCCTTGAAAAATAACTCATACATAGATTATTTTAATAGAATTGGCCTGGATTTCAGGATCTCTGCACAGGAAACAACTATCCACCTCTTAGAAACAATGTGGTAAGATAGGTGGTGGACCACCCCACAGCAAGGGAATCGAGTCATGAGAAATGTTGAAGAAGGGATCCTACAGTGCTTTCCTGAGACAAAATGCCAAACACAATCTAAGCTTTTCCAGAGAATAGAAATAGGAACAATGGATAGCTGTAACAGAGCAACAAATTTCAGCTCAATATAAGCAATAATGTCATGAGTAGTGAGTGCTTGAATAAGTGAATTTGAGGAAATAGGAGGCATCTGGAATAAGTTTGAATCCCAATTTCATCACTATTGGTTCTAGGAGCTTCAACAAATGATCTAATCTCTCCAAGCTCTACTTTGCTTATCTGTAAAACAGAAATAATTGTATATATTTCAAAGGGCGCAATGATTAAATGAGCTAATATTATGTCCAGCAGGAGCATTCTGCTTGACACAAAGCAAACTCCCAACACATCTAAGAATGGGAAGGAGCTCAGTAGGGTGTAAGCACTCAATCACAAGTGTGTGCAGGGAAGAACTATTAAGGACAGTATAAAACTTCTGCAGTGAAGGAACTTCATGAGTCTATTATATTTCTAGGGCGCATCAAACCCCAGTTTGTGTTGTTAGGTCTTCTAATAGGGTGACTATGAGATTCCGTGTGAATGTGTATATTGGGGTGGGAGTACCAGGGATGGCATGGAAAAGTAGGTCATCACTTCCAGCTTAAGTTCCCTCCTTATCACAGTTCTCACATCTCTTCTGCTGTAGGTAGCCTCCCTTAGAGAGAGGATGATGCTAACACTACTGCCACTTTCTACTACAACCAAAGGTTTGCAGGAACAGTTCTCTTTGGGAATATGTATCTTTTCTCTGCTGTTCTCACCCAGGTTTCATGCCCAAGGCTCTATGCCCCTTCCCTCTGCCACCCTCCCCTCCCCATCTAACTAGTTTGGCTTCCTATGGGATCATTGTCTCCAAGTATGTGTTTTCAAGGTTTGCTTCATGTCAAAACTGTTGGTAGCTTGGCAGAAGTTGGAGGCTCTCTGGACAAGATTTGTAAGGCATGGCAAAGTGGACCTTGGAAGTTCTGGTATTAGTTTTTTGGAATGTTGTATTTTCAAGTTTAAATGTATCTTTGTCTTGTTTGGCATTTCCAAATCTGCATTCTGCTAGATCAGGCTGGGAGAGGTCCACAAGTTTGAAGATCTTGATGACTTAGGAATGTTTGAAGGCAGAGGAGGAAGTGCTATGAGGTGGATGAGTTTCTGGCCTCTCCCAGAAAATGAAGCCCACACATGTCAAGAGCACAGAGTCCGGACATAAGTAAACTGGGCTCCATTGTCCTGTGAAAGACAAGTGTGCAGTTCCTGGCAACAACATGTAAATATTTTTAAAAACTAACAGCAAGGGTTTCAAATGGTTCTGGGGGACTGGGAGGAGGGCAGAGAAGTTCAGATTTTGCATATTTTCTGAACTCTGTGAAACAGATCGATTGTTGTAATATTTAGGCTTATTAGAATTGCAAAGAAAGGCTCTGGAAGTGCATTTGGACCTTTGCATTTGCCTAAAATTGCACCAAGCAAGCAGAGGTGCTAGCTCCCAGTTCACTTGAATTTTTTTTCGCTCTCTTGCATGACACATTTAACAGTTAGAAACAAAAAGTCTTCGCACAATGATCTCAGTACCAAGTGGGAGTCCGACTCTGCACTTCAGAAGGGAGCTTGGCTGGCCTACGCCTCCTAAGTCTGCAACTACTCCTTTCCTAGCTTCAAAAGGATGGCAGTTTGTTCCTTCCCCAAGCACATGTGGCAAGTCACTTGCCCACAAATTGCCCTCGCTGCTCACAGGGGCCCGGTGAAGGACAAAGGCTGTGACATGGGTGCCTTGCTATCAACACAGCTACACACCCCAGCCAGCCGTCTGCCCAGCATGTAATGTCTCCAGCCCAAAACAATAGCTGTGCACTGCTCCACACAGTGTCTCTCCCACCAGGGAGCCTCCATTCCACTCATTCTTTCATGGGACTCTGTTATCAAGGCTACTGTGTTCTGTTGTTAGTTATCTTAAATGGCCAATCAAAAGTCAAGGCCTTTAGATTGTGGTGAAGACACAGACATCTGGCCATCTATAATCCCGCCTCCTTGTTCCAATGAAGACTTAATCTCATCCGTTGAAATCATTAGAAATCTCTCCGTCCACATCCAGTCTGCTCAGAGCTTGCTGTGCTCCTACGCAGCAGCCCAACACCCTTTCAGCAGAGCAGGGCTGGAGCCTGGAGCAGCTTAGGAGAGATAAAGGCACTGTTCTCATAGCAAAAACTGTACACCGCCCCCCCTCCATATACACACACAATTTCTGGACTGAGCAGGAGCAGCTCTGAGCAAACTCAAACCTCCCAGATGATCCCAACCCCATCTGGGCAGGCAGTGAGAGGCACTGACTGCCCAGCTACAACTGTTGTCAACTGTCTTCATAGGTGTAAGGACACAGGCCGGGGTGCAGCATAGAGCTGAACATGCACGGCCCACCTGCCCACTATGCAACTGCCTCCACTGAGTCTGGGGGGTCTTTGCAGGCTTCCCACTCTGCTGACTTTCCCATCTTCTCCCATTGCTACTTTGTTCACTACCTCATCCTCCTAGGCCAGGAGCACTATCTAGAACAGAATGAGGTCTCTGTCGGCATATAAATAAATGAGTACCTTGCTAATTTATCAGACCAAGTGAGTCCGTGCATGGTGCCTGCGTGACATAGTAATGACTTGAAGAAATGGTAGCCTAGACCATCCATTTCTTCCCTCTCTGGCTGCAGCTCCATTGCGTGTGACTGAGTATGGAAATGTTGGGGTCAGAAAGATGCCAAGTGTTGTTCATTATGCAAAATTGGGCCTGTCTGGTAGGGGAGGCTGCAGGGAAGCCTTAACCTGTGCCTAGAAACCTAATCACCAGCCTCTGTCCACACTCAAGTAGGGAGGAAATATCTGAATACCAAAATTGATTAAATGCTCATTTTTCCAAAGTGTGGCAGTGAGTAAACTTTCAGTAATTACTGTTAAGCTATAGCAGCTGCCCTTAGTAATGACTTTCAGAATTATGCAATCTTAATACACTAAAAAATGCATAACCACTGGAGATTCTTATAAAAATATTTGAAACTATCATAACTCAGAGCTTTAAGGAGAAAGTCCTACACAGCCCTGCCTTTTTCAGATCTGGGTTATCTTGCTTGCTTTTTTTTTTTTTTTTTTTTTTTTAGTGATAGCAGCATTGATGAAAATGCAAACCTCCTCTCTTTATGTCAGCGTATAATACATATGGAAAATGCATCCCAAAAATTATATATGGCTAGAGGGAAAAAAAAGGTATTACAAAGAACACATTTCCTCACACAAAAAAAGCAATTCAGAAATTAAATAATAAGGTCCTTTTCCTCTCATATCCTCAAATTCACTTTATTTAAGCCTACAGATGACAGGTAATTCCTGTTGCACTTAGTAAAGCCCAAAGCTTGAGTGAACATATTTCTCTTTCTAGGCTGCTTGCCTTCCGCCCCTCTCTGGCCACATTAATTAATAGTTAAAATGCTGATTGCAGACATGTCACTGAGAGGCTTGGTAAAGCCTCCGGATTGCTGCCCTGGCTCTGCAAACATGATGAGTCTTCACCATTAAAGTGCTAGACCAGGAGAAGAAAGTCCCAAATTCACACAGAAAGGTATATACCCCATCCCATACATTCAAATAAAAACAAGCAAATATAGACAAAAATTGCAGAGAGAGAGAGAGAGAGAGAGAGAGAGAGAGAGAGAGAGAGAGAGACTGTGTAAGCCTTGCAAACAAGTAGCAAACAACATGGACCCTTGCATTCATCCCTGGCTGAGGGACTTCCCTTACCATTCTGGACCACACTGATGAGGGTGACGATGGCCAGCAGGACAATATTGCCCATGGTTTCTTGATCCATGTTTGCTTCACACTCCCCACTGAGAACTGCTCTGACTCCGTGGCACCTCAGACTTGCACTGTGCAGAAAAGGGAAGTGAGGGCCTGCACTGTCTTTCATCATTAGAATTTCCGAAGGACCCAGCACAATTACATAGTGTGTTCTTCCTTTTTTTTTTTTTTTTTTTTTTAATCTAACCACTAAAGTGCCCTGGCTCGTTGTGACCTGCCAGGAGTAGCAGGACTTGGGAGAAGAGCTGGAAAGAAAGGAAAAATGAGCCTTTTAAAAAATATATAAAGCACCAAAAAGATCTGTGTCCTGTCCTTGTAGTCCTAGGGGAAAAAAAATTGACTACTTAACACATCATAGGGTCTGGAGTAGCAACCACAAAAAAGGTCTAGATGGGGTAGGGGAGGGAGAAGAGACAGCTGATGTCTCCATTTCTATAGAAAAAGGCAAAAAAATAAAACCAAATCAAAGAATTCAGATAAGGGAAAGAAGTGGGATTACAGACAACCCTGTAAAAAAAACTTCCAAACAGGAAGGCTTGCTAAGGACTGTAACTGACTTTTCTGAGATAATTGTTGAGACACCATCTCAGGAATTCTCTTCAACATAATCGTGCAAGTAGAGAGAAGGTCTAAGAGTGGACCTGCTGGGCGCAGTAGATGGCATGTTACAGGATAGCTTTCTCAGTGTAAATAGTAATTAGAAATTATACAGAATATTGAAGATTCCAATTCACAATGTATACAAATACTGAATCATTATGTTGAACAACTGAAAATAATGTTATATATCAATTTTACTTCAATAAAAAATTAATAAATCAAAAGTAGGGCATATACACCCTCAACACCTAAGAAGACAGTAAATGAGCAAACTATCCTAACTTGTCAGTAAATGAGCAAATTATGTTGTGGGTGCCTCTCTTGACAATGAAAGCAATTAATGGACTTTTTCTACAGTAGAAAGGAAGAAAGAGAGGAAAATGGAAAAAGAAAACAACATTCCTGCAATCTTTATCCCAGAGTCAACAAATATTTAACAGTGGTAATGAGGAGTTTTTATCAAATCCCCACTTTGAAAGAGAACTTTGGCCACCATGCTTGGTGACAATGGGGAGTGGCATCTTGGTGTAGAAACAGGCCATCATGATAAGATCACACATCTCACATGTGCAGCGAGCTAGCTTAAGTGTCCTCAGGGCAGTTTAAAGAGAAAATAGTCCATGGAGATGCCTGGAGACCAGTAGCAAGAGCTGTCCCAAGCTGATCAGGACACTCAAGAATATTCTCTGAATGCCAGAGCACTTTGCAAAGTATGGAATTATAAGATTGCTTAAGGTCTCACCATGAGCAAGATTTGTGTATTCACCTTAACAAAATCTTATTTGTATGGGCAGTTTGGCAAGTTTCAAGGACAAGGAGACTGACCCCCATGAAGAATGAATTCTAATACTTATCAAATCTTAATGACAATGCATCAGAAGTGAAGGCCAGTCTCCTCAAAAAAGCAGTTCGGTTGCAAACAATAGAAACTTAGCTCTAACTCGCTTGGGGCAAAAGGGGAAATTTATTGATTCAAAGAATCCAAAATATTGAACAATGAAAGTGAAAAAGAGCAGAGATGTGGTTAAGGCAGAATTCTCTCTCCCTCTCTCTCTCTCTCCTCTGTGGATAGCTAGCTAGCTAGACAGACAGACAGATGGATAGGTTGTATATAGATATACATGTAGACATAGACACATATAATCTCCCTTGACCAGAATCTCTCCTCCTCCCCCTACTTCTTTTAGCTTGTCAGCGCTTTTCACTGTAGATCAGTTTTCTCCATATAGCTGGAAAGATGTGCTTTGAAATTTTACATTTACAGCTCTGTCCCTTGTAAAGGACTGACTTCTCTCCTCTAAATGCAGAATGATCTCACTGACTTGGCAGGTCAGATATCCATCCCCACGACAACCAGATAACAAAAACGAAAGAAGCTGGCAGGTTCCACAGTTGTCATATGGTTGAAGGAGACCATTCTTTTAAGTATTGGGGCGGGCACTCCCTGGTGGCGCAAGGGGTTAAGACACAACCTGTAAAGCTGTCTGCAGCCTCTGCAGCACAAGTTCAATCCCCTGGCCGGCCAGGGAGATGGCCACATGGTGCAGAAGACCTCTCCTGGCTCACCCGCTGCTCCCCACAGCAGTGTACTTTGGTCAATCTGCCTGTTCTGTTCCCCACTTTGTCTCTGATGAATCCTCTCACTCCCCGCAACTGTGGGCTGTGCCCCACCTCTTGTATGCATAAATAAATAAATCGTAAAAAAAAAAAGGATTGGGGCGGGGGTGGGGGGTGGTGGTTTGGGAGTGCTGGATACATGTCCTGCTGTGACTGCCCAGTGTTCATAATCTCAGATTAAAATGCCCAGTTTTAAAGAAGACTATCCTCCTGCTTGGGTGTTTGTTTATGGTACGCAAGCTTGTGTTCCTCTCTGTAGACACAGAAAAAAACACCAACAAAACCCAACATGGTCAGCCCATGATGACTTTGGAAACCTCACCAGCTCTGTAGAAGGCAGGAAACCAGAAAGAGCAGCATCTCATGCTTGTTTCCAAGCCCCCAGGAGCCACTCAAACAGAAGGGAGGAAGGCCCAGAAGACACCTGCTAGGAGGTTCAGTTGCTCTGCCGACACACAGATTCCTCTCTGTGGTAGGATACCCACGTCTGAGCTCCCTTGAGTCTCCTGCTGGATGAAGAGCACGTGCTGGTAGAGTAAGTCCACTTCAGCCAGGAAGAGCATTTTAACAGTCAGCTGAGTTGGCCATTAAATTAGAGTGCGCACATTAAGATTCTGGCTGCAGCTGCAGAGGATCACTTATCAGAGGTGAAGCCTCTGGAAATGCCATTCATCTCAATAGAGAGCTGCTGAGACAGAACAAAAAGATGAGGGGCGCCAGGGGAGGGGGTGGGGAGTGCAGCAGCCCTGCCCTTGGATTCCTAACAAGATGTCGCCAGCCCCACCGGGGTCCTTGGCCCTCCTGAGGCCTAACCCTGGTCAGACCAAGCCCAGGACCCATGAACTGAACAACTACTCCCAGAGACCTAGCTCATGACAGGCACTGAGGAAAGAGCTTTGCATTTGCCTCTCTGGGGACAAATTATCCCTCCCATTGCCCAAATGGCAAAACCGAGGTCAGAGAAGTTAAACCTCACGTCCAAGGACACAAGAGAGGTAAGGAAAACTGGGATTCAAATCCAGGCCTGTCTAGCTTCAAAGTCTGGGTTTTAACCAGCCTGAATGCTGCTTCTGTCATACTTCTCTGAACTCAGGACTCCCTGGCCCTTCTGCACTCATGCTTGGCAATCTCCCCACAGGCTAGTGAATTGTGGAGTGATCCCTTAGCCCTTACAGAGAGATTTTATTTTAATAAAAGAAAGTAAAACATATGCATCTCACAGGAAATAACATTCCCTGGACACCTGACCACTAGTGAAGGTGATTAACAAGAAATACCCTACAGCCGCAGACTGTGAGCCTACCCACTCACCCCCAGACCCCTGCTCCTGGGACCCTCGGTGCTTATGCATATGCTGCACTTATCTGCGTGTGACAGGTTAGTTAGACAAATGTTCTGGGAGTAGGGAGAATAATTAGCACATTCATTAATTAGAGTACTGCTAGTAGTTTGACTGTGAAGGACAGCCATTTGTCAACAGAGATCAGGACAGCTGGGGCCAAGCAGCAACTCAGGGAGGCAGCAATTCAGGGGAGGCGGTGGCACTGACCAGCTGCTATTAGAAAACATGGGAGCTGCTTATGCACTCAGCAGCAATATGCCTCCATCACCATGGAAACTGGGACCACTTCATCTGACTGTCAGGCAACAATATTCACGAATCCTTCATCTCACCTTGGGGTGCATGTTGCCATTTCATGACTTCTTAGCCCTTCACTTTCCATTCAAGTTTGCCCTCGGTGTTCACTAGGACCAGGCTCTACCTGTGTGTAAATGTTGGGAATGAGGGAGGGGGTACCAAATTCTCCTGGGCTGGGAGTCAACACTGAACAGGACAGAGAGACATAAATTGTAGATGGTTACGGCAATTTCTTTTAATTTCAGTCTATCTGAAGTCTATTCAGACCAATATCAATCTGAAAGATAAGTCATATGAACAAAGACCAGGTCCTGATCTGTTCTAGATATTACATATCAATACTCTAAGAGATCCAAATCAGCCTAGTTAAAGTGTTACATCTCCTTCCCCAACCGCAACCAGATGACCTTCCTTTACATGGACCCAGGGCTCTAAATTGAATTAAGAGGATGAGAAAAACCCTCATACCATTATACAGACAATGAAACTGAGGGACAGTGAATTTCCTATGCTACTGATTACATTTCATGCATCTCAGGGGTCTAAGATAAGTGCTTTAAAAATCAAAATGACATTTACAGATAGGACTTCAAGTCTCCAGAATCTCAGGTTATAAACTCAGAATACTAGTGCAAGGAAACAAACAGAAGCTTAAGTCCACAGACATTTCACAGAGATTGCGAGAAAATAAGATCGTATCCAGAAAGCCTCTTCCCTCTCCTGTCCAAAATAAAGGCAATACACTGTATTTTTATAAATTTGTAGGAAAGTTACGTAAGTAACCCATAAAGTGAAGAAACATCTTGCAATATGTTGTGCACAAAAATAGAGGTTAAACATAGGTTCCTTCACCTATGGTTTAATCCATCTTGTAGGATCTCTAAGCAAAGGAGGTTGATAATAGGCATGGTCTGACTGGGAACATTCATTCTAATAGGGTTTAAAAAATTGTAATGCTCATATATGCTGAACTGATTTTTTTAAAGATTTATTTATTTATGCATACATGAGCTAGAGTACAGGCCAGAGATGCAGTGGGTGAGAGGATTCACCAGAGACAGAGTGGGGAGCAGAACAGGCAGATCTACTGAGATACACTGCTGAGGGGAGCAGCAGGTGAGACAGGAGAGGGCTGCTATGCCGTGTGGGTCACCTCCCTGGCTGAGGATTGAACTCGTACTATAGTGGCTGCAGGTAGCTTCAAAGCACTGT